AAGTGGTGGCGTTATTGGGGCCCAACGGTATGCGTGGACAGGTGTTTTGGGGTAATGCAATTGTCGGGGGCGGGCAGGTGGCAGGTCGGGGGTCGTGCCTCTTGAAGGAGCATCATGAAAGGCTGATGGGTGGGGCCATAGGGAGTCTAAGGGCGGGGGTCGAATTTTATTTATGTTTTGCCAGTTTGAGTGTTTGGGCACGTAGGGCCACGTGTCCGAGGCCCAACGCCCCTATTCCGTTTTTCGGAATTCAACGAGATATCCCCGTTTTTCTGTTAAACGAGATTCAATGGGGATCCCTGGGGCCGTTCAACGGGTTGAACGACGTTTAATTTCGTCCATTCTCCGTTGATCGGACACACAGAACTAAGTCCTTCTACTTAGAAACAATACTGAGTCTCAACGTAGATCCCCTCAGAAGAAAACACAGTAAGATTTGAGTCATTCAACTTAGAAATAATACTCAACTCTTATCTTTAAAACTTCAAAAAAAACAAGGAGCCCTGGCCATTCAACTTAGAAATATGTCGGAGCTCCGTTTAGAAACCTCCAAAAAAAGAAAGATAGACCAAGACATGCAACTTAGAAATAATGTTTGGCCTCCAAATCAAACAATGTACACCCCAAAGCAAAGTCACAACGACAAGACCATTCAACTTAGAAACAATGTCTGACGCATAAGAAAGTAAGTCAAAGAAACAAAGCAATCAGACCATTCAACTTAGAAGCATGCTTGACCCTTTTTTGTGACCCAAAAATCTCAATCAATACTACCTTTCTTCCACCTCCCCCTACAATCATCCTCGTTATCTGATTTCAGACAACAAACCAAAGTTGGATTCAAACAAGCTTTTATTTTACTAAATTTGATTAAGTTGTAAAAAGAATCAAAACAAAACATAAGGTTGAAACACAGAATTCCTGAAAACCAGACAAAAAAAATGTATGGTTTGCACGAAATTTGTTGATAGTTTCTAAGAATACGATCTTTAGGCCTCTTGCGCGAGCAATATTCCACGTGATGTAAAATGACTAAAAAAATGAATAGAGAAATACTTTTTAAGAACCGTTGGAAGTGTGGAAGAAAAAGTAGGTGACTGAAAATCATTGCAAACACCGTATGCTTAGGAACCAAAATATTATATTTTTTGTTCTTTCGAAAGATCATACTTATAGTTCTGTAGGATGTGTAGCACGACAAAAGTTTTCAAGGACTTCGTGAACATGCAAAATTGTTATATTGTTTGTGAATACATTTGCCCTAAAATATTCTCCTATGTCAAAGCGGATTTTTTTAATGATTTTTTTCAAACTTGCGTTTGATTAAAATTTTAAAAATGTCTCCAGATAAAAGTTGTTTGTATTATTATTTTACATAACATATATCTGAGTAGCACACCGAACATGTTCGGCGCCCCACCGAGAAACCAAAAATGTTCGGACGCTCGACCGAGCGGGAACCGAATGTGTTTGGTCGAGCACCAATCAGGGGGCTACCGAACGTGTTTTCGTGTGTGTGTGTGGTGTATGTCACTGTGTGAGGTGTGTGTGGGGTGTGTATGTGTGTGTGCGTGTGTGTAGTATATGTGTGTGTGTGTATGTGTGGATATGTTCAGGAGTGATGAGCAATGCCCCGCGGGGTCCCCCAACCCCTAGTATATATGTTTAAAAAAAAAAAAAAGCAAAAAATTAAAAAAAATAGAAATGTCCGGGCTCGGTCGATTTTGGGTCACGTTCGGGCTTGGTACGGAACGTTCGGGTTTGGTCACCGAGCCCAAACGCGATGCTATGCAGACGTATATTTTTGGACGAGGTTTTCTTTTTTACTTCAAAATTGAATTATAGTTCTATAAACTAGTTTTCTCATAGATTGGTTTTTGACTTAACTGTTGAAAGCGGCTTATAGTCTTATAAATGATTATTAAGTAAAACCATCGTTTTTAAAACTTTCAAGTTCGTATCACATACCTTAAATATTGTCTTGTTTGAGCTCTATTTTTTGCCATTCTCTTGAAAATG